CAAGCAGCGCTGTTCTGAATTTCCATTAGGCACAGAGTCTTTCTTTAGAGCATGACTGAGAGAAACTTTTGCATCTCCTGTATCACAACAACTATTCTGAGAGAAGCACGAAGTGTTTCGGAGATCCTTCACATTTCATGTAATCAGTGAACATCTGTGCATGAAGGAACTTCTTGAAAAAGGTTAGGTTTAAAATCTTAACAATCTTGTTAAGAAGTACTTGTTATATTAACAAGTATGCTAATCTTCACAGAATCAGGAGTACTTTCTTCTCAGAACTTGGAGTTTTATATGGAAGTCTTTCAGTGTGGTGGGTTTCATGCAAAAACTATCTGCTCGTCTATAAGATGATTGAGATCGGATTCCTCCTGCAAAATTTACAGACGAATCTGTGTAATCATCAAACCTAGAGGAAACTTCACTTTTCACTGAGCCTGTCTTTTGGAAATTGGTACTTCAAAACCAGTTTAAATGCAGTTTGATCCAGGGCTTCATTTGATGCGAGTTGTTATGTAAAATGGTCAAAATCATCTCAGTTATTGGATGAATCTGCCTCATCTGTTTGCTGTCCAAATTCCTTTTCTCATGTGTAATTACTGTGGAGGGTTTTGAATTATTAAGATTTAAGATATCATTATCTGAAGATTAAATTTGTAGAAATCTCCTTGACTTCTAGCAATTAGATTTTCCGAGCTATTTAAGAATATGATAGAATGTGTTTTCCAGTTGCTTTGAGTCTGCTGGTGTAATGCTGCAAACACAGAAGCTGATTTAATAGCATTTTGGTTGATGATACTTATTTTGGTAAACCTCCATCAGCTTTTTATGGTAAATTTCCTATTGGCTTCAGCGGTGCCATAATTAGTTTTTGGGCAGCATTCCCTAGCGTATTTGGGAGAGGAGGGCTGAAGGACCACATGTACTGGTATGGCTGGTACCAGATGGCAGCCTGACAGGAGAAAACTTGTCAGGGTTTCAGTTGATCTGCAGCTTTGCAGCAGCTTCGGCAGCAGGTTATTAGCAATAACTGATAATTAGCATCCGAATGATTTGGAGCATTTCTCAGGGCTCGGCGTGTCTCCTTGCTGCCTTGTGGGGTGCGCTGCCCTCGCACCACGTAACTGCGAGCCCTCTGGCCAGGGAGTGTTTCATGTTCACCTGGTCCAGAGATAAGTGGCTATACAGAATTTGAGGTTGTGTGTGTTTGAGGTGAAGGTTGGTTTTGATTAGTTTCAGATAGCGTTAAAACCAAAAGAGGACTTTCGATCTGTCTCTCCTGCAGCTTTCTGAAGAGATAGAATGAAGCTAATTGTACCTTTGTCCAACAGTGTAAAGTGTTTTCCAATATACCGATGAGTGCATCTAGCTGAGCAAATAGCAAGATAGCATTTCGGTTCATGAACTCTTTGATTTTGCTTTTGGGAAATCTGGAAGAAGGGAACTTTGATAGTCCCTTAATATTCGTGTTGTCTTGTAATTCCTTGAGGCAGCTCTTCAGCAGAACATGACACTTTGCAGCTCTTGTGTCCAGCAAGGTGTGTGCAAGTGAGTTGTCAGAAACTCATTTATTTTGTGAAGAGATTATACTCCAAAGAGTATCATTCTGATACACCTGTGAACAGTTTTCTTCCCTATTTTGTACCTTAGTAGATAGAAATAGAAGTTTTGGAAGGGGAGGAAGAGCAGAGTAACTTTGACTTCTATTTCTGTGTTTACATAATGTTAAAGTGGATGGGTAGATGCTGGATTTCTGGGTATGTGAAGGTTTATGGGTTTCATGCATATCAGTAAAAAGTCAGTTTTCTTTTTAGTAGCTTGATTTAAAACAGGCCCGGGCTGTATCCATGGAAGGTAATTGCATTGCCCTGTAATTTTGCACAATTTTGTTAAAGCTAAATTTCCTGTTCCACGCAGGCTGTTGCAATTATGAAAATGGCTTGTAACATGAATGTATGAGGTCATTTCTAAGTACATACAAGAGAGATAATGAAGCTTGGTTAGAACAGAGGTGCATTTTAAGTGTTCCCTTATAAATCTACCCAGATGGAGTTGTTCCAGGCTGCCCCTCAGGATGACCACGTCTGTTAAGAAGGTTTCTTGTGTTCTGTGTAGTGTCAGAATCCATTTACTCATGGTTCTGTACCCATCTTCCTGACCCCAGACAGTAATACCATCAAGCTAATGGCAGGGTTTCTGCTGAAACTTCACAAGCTTGCTGGTTGAGAGCAAATAACAGTCTCGCTATGCAGAAATAACTGGGGCCCACAAAGAATAGCAGCATCCTTCAGTAGGGGTGATCCATAAGCTTGTTTCCACAGTTGGTCTATGTGAGCTGACATCTGCAGTTCCTGGTTTTTGGGTTAGTCTTGCCATTTGGGACAAGCCATAATAACAAACAATTTCTAATAAGGGAGTCTTAGGGCGTAGAAAATCCTCTCAAACATAAAAGTGATAACTTCCTGAACTTCACCTCACCTTCACCAGGGCATAGAGGGCTGTGATGGAATGAATGATTGACAGGGGATCATGGAAAAACAACATACATTCAAGCCTCTGAACAAAAATATGTTCTCTTCTATGAAAATGTGGGAAACTTGTAAACTGACAAAAAACTGTCATGTAAAAGTATGATTTAAAATACAGAGTTTATTGCTGTAGGATTTTATTGATGCCAAAATTTTTATTAAGGCCAAACCATGAAAAATAAGGGATATTTTACATGGGTAACTAAATGTTAATAGCTTTCCCAAAATTTACATTAAGCATTCTGCTTCAAGACTTAAGGCAATCCCTAACTCTGGGAGGTTATGGAATTTCTTGCACCTTTCTCTGAAGCATCTGGCATTAGCCTCTGTAGAAGACAGGATATTGGATTAAAAAAAAAAAAAGCCCAGTCTCATCCGCTGTGCCAGTTTCTGTGTTCAAATACTCCCTGTCAATAGTGGCTTCTGCAAAATTATGACATTCTTTTTTCAGTTGTTAAAGAAACCCAAGGCCTAGTATCTGCATTGAAAGTTTTAACAGCAAATTATTCTTTCTCAAAAATTTCTCCCTAAGCACTATTACCGAGTTCCTTGATTGAATCGCGCTTGGACTCTGCTGTCTGGATGATCAGATGTGGCTTTGAGTATCCTGAGCTTCAGCATGCTCTGCATTGGCATCCTGCTACCAAGAAAATGGTGCCACTTCACTGGGCAAATAGATGCCCAGAGTCCCTTTCTCTGTGTCAGAGAGTTGTAATAAATGCAGGTCTATAAAAGGTGGATCGTAATTTTTTATGAAAAAAAGATAGTGTATTTGAGAAGCTTGCATGTGTTTTGCTATCCCTTTAACATTTATGGAGATTTGTGGTATTAGGCTTTTAAGCTGCTTTGTTGAAACTCATTTGACAAGGACTTGCACAGATGGTGCTTTACTTTCCGTCTGAAATGTGATGCTTTTTAATTTCCCTTGGCTCATCTCAGTGAATCTGGCTGGAGTTTCTTCAATGGATATTTGTCTCCTGTATCTCTGACTTGCTTATCTGAAATAAAATTTAATCTGATAGGAGCAATATGTGGGTGTCTTTAACTGTAGGCAGAGTTGGGACATTTAATCATCTGTTCCAGCCCTGGTATATTCAGTGACTACTGTACTATTAATACATCTGGTCTAATATACAGAAGTAATAAAATACTGAAATCTGCTTCTCTTCAAAGCAGATTTCCCGCCCCCCCCACCCTGTGGTGACAGTATATTTCTGAAGAGGTAGCAAAAAATTATTAATCGGAAATGTAATGCATGACTAGACAAGGAGTTTTGAGAGATGCCTTGACCTGGCTTACTGCCTGGTGTTGGCTGTGAAAACCTGCTGTATGGACACTGGCATCCCAAAAGCTGCTATGGCACCTGAAAGCTCCAAATACATCTTGGGTTGGATTGTGATGCACACACATGCAGCAGTTAAAAGATAGCATTCATTAATGTCACTGTCTTTGGTCCATCTGCTAGGCCACATGTTACAAATATATACCTACTTAAAATGTTAAACTCTTTGCTTTAACATCTATTAGTGAAAGCCACTGATGGGTTTCTTAAACGCTGCAGTCCAGCGGACGAGGTGTCTGTATGGGCTACTTGCTCATGTGTTGGAGAACGCCGCTGCTAGGAGCATTGCCTGGTAATTTCAAGTCAAATGAAAACCCCCAAAAAGAAGCAGGAGGAGGAAAAAAGAAATTGTCAGGTCTGAACAGAGGCATGCGATGCTGAAGAGGTTAGATCTGCGTGACCTGCCTCTAAGTCCCTTTGCTGGCACGCTGCTGGAGATGACGTCTCTGAGAGCAGGCAGCAGAGCTGGTTGGGTGAGTGTCCACTGACCTACTTCAGCCATAGTGACCCACGTTAGCTTAACCTGGTTACGGAGTAGCCCTGCTAACCTCGCTCACTTATGGCCGCAGTGGGTTAGCAGGTTTGAGGGGCCACTAATCACCAGCAATGAGCAGCTGAGAGGGGTGAATAAGGTTTCTTTGATATAGCTGGATCAGGAAGTAAGTGTGCTGTCAGACTAAGAAATTGAACAGGCTGCTAATACTGCATCTGTTTTCAGGGATTCAGTTTTTGTAGAAGTGAGTCTGATCCAACTATAGTGAAAATGCACATGTAGAAGTGTTTGATCATCTTGCAGCCATCTTGTTGAAAACCAAAGTCTTGCTTTAACAGCAGGCTCAAATCAGTACATCGTTGTTCCTTCCCACAAGGGTTTATATGAGGTTCTATGCAAGTAACCTACGCATCACAAAACACCGTTTGTGTGCTGTGTGTCGCTTTCAAAATCTCTGTGTGGCCACTTGATTGCATTTAAAGGTCCAATCCCAGAAGAGAAGGGTCTAGGAAAAGGTTGCATTGTTTTGCATCAAAGAAATATGAGGGTAAATAGTTTCAGCTATTTAAAATGAAAGTTACTTATGCAAAATTCTGGGTTTACTAATAAAAGATTTGTTTTCTGATTATCCTAGGCTTTTGGGCAGGCCCATACCAACCACAAGAAGGTAGCTGCAGATGGAGAGAGCAGAGAGGAGACCTTGATTCAGGAATCGGCTACCAAGGAAGAGTACTACATGAAGAAGGTTATGGAGCTGCAGACAGAACTAAAGCAGCTGAGAAATGTCCTTGCCAACACCCAGTCTGAAAACGAACGCCTTACTTCTGTTGCACAGGAACTGAAAGAGGTGAGTGAAGGTGCACAGTGCATACCACAGATTGTATTATGGTTATGTTTTCTTGTGCTGTATAACCAAAATAAGGAATATTCTTGAACTGATCGATATCTGCTTAATATTAGCAGTTGCTAAGATGGGTTGTCTGTCTGAGACTTTAGCAAGGTGTTACATCCAGCTGAAGCTGTAGTTCAACGGTACAGTAAATCCAGCTTTCTGGTTCCATCCATTGAACCAGCCTGTTGGGGCCACAGTGGTTCTGAACCAGTACAAATTCACTCTGCCTTGTTCAGTTACCTACTAGTTCTGCAGTAACCACTGTATTGTGTCCCAGCTCATTTGACAGACTCATTTGACTGGACTGCCTGTCCAGGCCACGCTGGTGCTGTGGGTACTGCACATCAGTACTCTCAGTCCGAGAACTGCTGCCTTGAAAAGCAGAGGAATCTGTTTAGTCCAAGCAGAGATGCTTTGGATGTACTTTTTCTGCCTCACTCCCAACACAGATTTTCTTGCTGCAAAATATTTGGTACATAATTTCCCCTTTTATCACTTTTTACACCCTGACTTCTAAGGATGTGGGAGATTAACAAAACACTGAATTGCACAAAAGGAGTAATAGTAAAGTTTACAGTCTTGTGTTCTCTCTCATGAAAGTGATGGCCTTTACATAGGTTGCTTAACTTATTAGCTCAAAGTACCTTTGACCTTTTTTATTGTTTCAGTACTGAAACTGCATATTTCTGAGGGGAAATAGTTGCTGAGAAATTTACTTTGAAAGTTTAAGTAATTAAGAAATCTGTAGATCAGCAGGAGTCTCTTTGGCACTGATGCAGAAAAGATTGTTTTGAGAGCTCAAATCATTGCTTAGACTGGGTAAAAATTATAGAGACTGTAAACCACAGATGGATGTGGTAAACAATCATCAATTATTACTCATGAGCTTTCTTGCACCTTCCTTGGAAGCGTTGGGTACTAGTCTCATCTAGCCCTGAGATAATCGACTGGCCTCCCCTGCTACAAGGGGAGGTTATCTAAGAGCCCATGTCTTAATCTCAATGTACTCTACATGACCACAGCTGAAAATCAGAAATGTCTCATTTAATTTCTTTAGGACATAGTTACAGATATGTGGATAACATTTCGTGGTAAAATTAATGAGGAAATGTGGGTTACTTCTGTAGACATGTCAGGGTTCAATGGTACCTCTCTTTGGGGTACGACAGAGAAGGAGACTTGTGGGGCAAACTGTCACAGGTGATCAAACAGGCCAGTCAACTTCTTTAATTTCATGGGTCCTGGCTGTGGGATAACAGAGCTGGAATCAGTCCATGTGCTCTGCTTAGGCAAGGAACCAGTCCCTGCAAGCACACACACAACTCTTGTCTTTATGTCCTAACCTTTAAGAACAGCTTAAAAGAAAAGCTCCCCACCCCAGAGGCAGCATTGTGTCTGTAATGGATTCCAAACGCCGCTCAAAGCATGCTGATTGGCAAATTTCAGTCCAGCTCCCTGCGTCACTGCGGCTGAAGGTGATTTTTCCTTCTAGATGCTGCCACGTTTCAGCTACCTTTGCTTGGAGCTGCATTTTGCTTTATACAATCCTTGGATGAGCTGGCAGTTTGCAAGGTTTTAGGGTTTTTTTTTTTTCTTGTGCTTTGTCCTTCCACCTCACCCACATACCTTTTGGACAAACACTTGTGTGAGATGGACCCCAGTGAGAACTGAAGAGTGCAGGAAGAGGGGAAGTGGGTGATGTCTGGTTTCCTGTGACGATTTTTTTTTTCAAGATTTTTTCTTTTTAATTAACTGGATGTGACTGATTTTAAACTTTGAATGGAAACTGAACTCAGTTAAACAAAATTAAAAATCAAAACCTAATGTGATAAATAACTGGAACCTTGCAGTTAGGGGGTTCGCTGCCTGTCGCTTTGTGTGATTTTAGTTTGTGCTTTTCTTGCCTTTTTTTAGCCTAGTTATTTCTTCTGTTGCTGGTGGGGTGAAGAGGTGAGGAGAAAAAGAAATAACATCAAAGCTTTAGTGTTAAAGTGAAAACATCTGAGCCAATTGACCATGTGTGGTTTGTGATTCTGTTCCTCTGAAGATGCCTATTTGTGTATTGCATTTTGGTTTGAATTGCCTTATAATTACTGGTAAGGAACAGTGAGGCAGGGTGCGTGAACAGAGATACCTGCCTTCTCCTGGCCCACAAAAAAGCCAAGTCAACGTGACCATCCTGAGATGCTTGGCTTTTCTCTCATACAATGCATCAGAAAGTGGCAGAAGTTCACCATTGCTGTCCAGGTAAGCGGAAACAGGAGGATATGCACAGGCCTGTGATGATTTTGTAGATCTAACAGCAAATTCAGTTTGGAAGTGTTGTGTGAGAGGAATCAAGGAGCACTTGTTGTGGCCCTTGTAAGCGAGTGAGCAAGATGAGCAGTGTGGTTTTCCCCAGTCCCTGTTGCTGTGCTTAGCCTGCCTCGTGGTATAAGCTTTATGTTGATATTAGCCCGAAGAGCCTCTGTGCTATGAAGAATACTGCTGTAATCTGAAAGTGTTGAGAATGAAGGTGGAATATGATCTACTGTTTTATACCGCAGAGACACAGTGGAAATTCCTACCTTATTTTTTTTCTGACTGCTGATGAAAGAAAGACAACTGTGGCTCCTCTCCACCTTGTTGTAGAGCATGTTAGTAGGCAGATTTAGGCTTTATAGTGTATATTTTGCAAGTCCTGTATTATTGCCTATTGAGAGAACTGATTTGCAAGGTGTCTGGGGAACAGGAAACTTTACTTCCATTGCAACTGTTCTGGATTTGATCCAGATAAGAGGAAGGATGTGGAAAATACTTGATTGTATGTCCTCTGGCCAGGCGGAGGCCTCCTCCTGTCAAGACTAAAAGGAAGTTTAAAAGAAAAAGAAAAGAAGTCAGGAAATAAACTGAGGCTGAATCTCTGCTTTATTTTTAAGGGAGATTTGCTTGTCAGGGCTGGCTGCAAAAGTTTTTATCTGCTGGTTTGTAACTATCTGATAGGATAGAGACTTCTACTGTTGCCGGGGCTTTTTTGAAAAAATGTTTCCAGTCTTTCATAGTGGCATAAGGAAGATGGTCAAGTGCATCTGGCAGCAGCTCCTCTTGAGATGCTGTTGGCAGTAGCAGTGGTGGTGGGCTGAAACCAGATGTTGACCTGCATCAGTTGGAAGCACAATCAAGACTGCATGTTTAAGATGCCGTCATTCCTTTCGTGTCTTCTCAGGACACTTGCACAGAAGTGATGAGTTGTTTTTGGAAGGAGAAGAATGACATTCAGTACACCTGGAGTCACTGTAGCAGACACAAGTGGTTTTGATGCTTACAGTTGAATGGTTATTTTGGCCTGTTGAGACAGGCTGACAGGGTGGTTACAGATTATGAGTTTTACTGCTGTCATTAGCTAGCTCAGCAGCTCCTGTGTCCTGGAAGAGTCACTGGAATGAGTAATTGCTCCTGAGTAATTGCTAATTGCCATTCCTTTTTAATCTTCTTTCATCTCTCCTGTGTTTTAGTGGCACCAAAACAGATTTCACAGGGTGATTTGTCTGTGAAGTCATGAGGCAGCATGGTCATGTGCCGGGTGTAGAGAAGCTGAAAAACCTTCCCAGGAAAGTAAAATGTGTTCTGATTATATAAACTCAAGAAGGAAATATATTTTAATGTGCATAATTTTATATATTAGTTAAGAAAAATAGCTGACATGACATGGTGCACTATAATATTAGTGGGCATGGTGGTGTTGGGTTGATAGTTGGACTTGATGATCTTAAAGGTCTTTTTCCAACCTTAATGATTCTGTGAATATGTCCTAAATAACTTGTGGGGTTTTTTGAAACACGCTACCAGCAACATATGAGTAGTTTCATTCCTCCAAGGCTATATAATGGTAGCTCTTTTTCTGAGGTTTGTTTTGAAGAAACTTTCTTGTCCTGCACTATCAACTGATAGGCTTTATCAAGAAAGTGTGTCAATCTGAAGGATAATGAACATCATGCAGTTACCTGGCCCTGCAGGGGACTCTCCTTTTTTCTCTTGATAATGCTGGGATTTTCAGGTCTGTGTCAAACACAGACACACAATTATTTATTCTGGATTTTTTTGTTATTTCTTTTTAACCCTAGAGAAAAGGAATACCCAGCACATAGACCTCCAAAAAGATCAGTCAGTTTTATGCCTCCATCCTATTCTCTTGCCTCGCACCAGAGGCTATGAGTTTGATTGCCAGAGTCTCAAGTGACTCTTAACAACCCTCATGCTCTAGTCAAATCCTGTAGATAATTGCCTTAACTAAGTTTACAGTGTATGAAGTTTAACCCTACTCTCAGAGTGAACCTAAAAAGCTACCCAACCCAACCTGACATAGTTATTCTTCAGTGAAGATGTAGGCTTTGGTCTCTGGTTGCACTGAAGAATAACGAGGTCAGGTTGGAAAAGACCCTTAAGATCACTGAGTCCAACTGTTAACCTAACAGTGCCAAGTCCACCACTAAACCATGTCCCTAAGCACCACATTTAAATACCCCAGGGATGGTGACTCCACCACTTCCCTGGGCAGCCTGTTCCAATGTTTGACAACCCTTTTGGTGAAGAATTTTTTCCTAGTATCCAATCCAAACCTCCCCTGGCGCAACTTGAGGCCGTTTTCTCTCATCCTATCACGGGTTACTTCAGAGAAGAGATCAACACCCACCTCACCACAACTTCCTTTCAGGTAGTTGTAGAGAGCGATGAGGTCTCCCTTCAGCCTCCTCTTCTCCAGGCTAAACAACCCCAGTTCTCCAGACCCCTCACCAGCTTCATTGCTCTTCTCTGGACATGCTTCAGCACCTCAATGTCCTTTGTGGAGTGAGGGGCCCAAAACTGAACACAGGATGCAAGGTACGGCCTCACCAGTGCTGAGTACAGGGTCACAATCACTGCCCTACTCCTGCTGGCCACACTATTTCTGATACAGGCGACGATGCTGTTGGCCT